GATGACACCACACGCCACAAATCACGAAGCACAGTGCCTGGCGTGGTGGCCACAGCCGTCACAGATGACCCTGCAGGGATGACACCACACGCCACGAATCACGAAGCACAGTGCCTGGCGTGGTGGCCACGGCCGTCACAGATGACCCTGCAGGGATGACATCACACGCCACGAATCACGAGAGGACGGCAGCAATCAGACCCCACCCACGCTGAGCTAACCACTGAGTCAAGCAGAGCACATGCTCCTCTACTTCAGTATCATCGACGGCCTTTGGGATCCTATGTATTTTATTTTATGTATTTAAAGCAAATTGTAAGGCTGGGTCCACGGCAGCCACAGGGGCCCGGGGTGGGGAGGGGGCCTGGGGTTTGTGTGTGTGTGTGTGTGTGTGTGTGTGTGTGTGTGTGTGTGTGTGTGAAAAGCCCCTGTCCAATCCAACAGTAATTCATCAGTAATCACACTGGAATTCCATTTCCGTCTGTCCGTCTCCTGGGTGCTCCTTCCCAACTTGTGAAAAAAGCGGTATTATTCCTGGGTCCTCTAATTCGCAACTCGCAGGCTCACTGGAGACCCTCCCTCACCCAAGGTGCTGTGGTTCCAATTAACACACACAGCCACGTCCTGCTGGTTTCGGTTCAGGCTGCGCCCTATTTAGGTCTCCACGTTTCGGTGTGGAAACACCACTCCACATGCAGGCTCAATGCTCTCTACTTCATTCCAAAGAGGATTTCACCTGGTCTTCTTTCAAAGGGGTTTTCCTCTCATTCAGAATGGAAACACATGCAGAATTAGCCTCAATGTGCTTTACAAATCTAATAGTTCTTTGAAACCCCAGCAACATTAAAGGCTTATCTTCCCCGCTCTTGGGGGGGCGGGAGCTACTGCAGCGAGCTACAGTAGTCCTAACAGAAATCTGGAATCTAATCTTTCTAGAGCATTGAGTTTCTGTGGACTGTTTCCTAATAATACAGAAAGGGGAAACATATTATAACTTCTTCATTACACAGTATTCTGACAATGATGTGAAAACTCTTGAATACTGTGGGTGCTCATGGACATTAATTTTTCAGCGTGTTCCTGCTCTGTGCCGGCTGATATCAGCAAGTTTCTGCACTACTCTGGTTCCACCGTGCAACCTGCCACGGCTACCTGAGAGGCAAAATGTGGCTACGGCAGGGTAAGCTCGCGCTGGAACTCTCCAGGAGGTAAGCAAACTCCCAGAGCCCAGGCCAGAGGACCGATCGGCCTTCGGGTGGGGACGGTAACAAGTCATGTGAGCCCCAGTGAGCTCACCAGGTAACAGGATGCACACTCCCAGGGAGCCCGCTGGGTGCACATGCCAGCTGCCAGCTGCCGAGGGACTTCGTATGATGCCAGCGCTGCACACACCCCTGGAGCCCCTGGGCAGAAGCGGGCGCCAGAGCCTCTCTTCTGGGCTAGGCCCTAGCTTGCTTTGAGAGGTACAGTAACCAGAAAGCAGGTTTTAAACCATCATCTGAGCTGCAGGGTTGAGCTCCTTCTACGTGAACTGTGGCCTCGATTACGCAGAAAGCACTGGGTTGCCACCCAGGCTACGCTAAAGTCTATCTCCAAGACAAAGAGGACCGGCAGGAAAAGGGTCTTACGCTAGAAACCAGGAATGTGGCGTGTGTTTTTCAGATATAGGCAATACCTTAACATCCCCAAGGAACTATGGGCTGAGGGTAGGTGCGAGCTACCAAAAATGTAAAAGAAAAATCATCAGTAAATACATACAGACAAATCAACACAGCAAATAGACAAAGGCATGGAAATTTACAATCCAGTTGTCATTCTTCACAAATTAACAACAAAAATGGGCCAGGTGCCGTGGGCCACCCCTGTAATCCCAGCACTTTGTGAAGCTAAGGCAGGAGGATTGCCTGAACCCAGGAGTTTGAGACCAGCCTGGGCAACACAGTGAGACTTCGTCTCTACAAAAAATACAAAATTAGCAGGTGCAGTAGTGCACGCTTCTGGTCCCAGCTCCTTGGGAGGCTGAAGTGAGAGGTTTGCTGGAGCCCACAAGTTTCAGGTTGCAGTGAGCTGGGACTGCACCTGGTGCCTGGGTGACAGTGAAACCCTCTCTCAAAAAAAAAAAAAAAAAAAAAGAAAAAAAGAAAAAAATGACAAAAGGTAACCTGATTACAATTCTAATTTGATGCTGGAGAGACCTGGGAAACAGATTATTTTCATCTACTGCCAGTGGGAATGTAAATGACACTCGATAAAATCACCAGGGGCTGTGTCCAAAACATTCTGAATGTGCCTGTATCTTCTAATGTGTGATTTCTACCTCAAGGCACTTTTCTCAAGTCACTAATCATTAGATGTGCACAGATATTTAGCTAAAGGATATTCATCACAGCACTGTAGCCTGCAGAGTACAGGTCTCACAAACAAGTCCAACAACGGGGAAATAAAATCATGGTGCCTCACTGCCACGAGCCACTAAGTGGCCGCTAGATTAAAAATAATGGAGACATGGCAATGTCTGTGAAAATTTAAAATGCACATACCCTAGTGGAAAATGCAGTGGGATTTAAATGACCATTAGTAGGGGATTCTTTAAATTAAGCTGCACCCACACACTGGACTACTCAGCCATTCGAAAGAATGAACCAACTCCACATGGTAGAAAACCGACTGAGGCCAAGAGGTGAATCAAGCAAGCACAAAATTACACCGCTGTGTGTGAAGAGAAAATGAGAAGCACAGCTATGGGGAGATGTGTGAACACACACCTGCTCCGAAGAAACCAACCGCTGCTTCAGGAGAGAAGCCGGGCAACAGTGAATGTGGTCAGGCAGGAGGCCTGCTTTCCTTACTTAGTACCTTTGAATTTTTCTACCGTTTGCTTCTCTGTCTTGTCTGCAGTTTCCAAACATTCTGCAATTAAACCCATCACGTCTATAATCAAATTAAAACCTCACTTAAATTGTTAGGGAAAAGGCGGCACGCATACGACACTGCCTCATGAATGAGACAGAGGAGAAATGTTTATGCGTATTGGCCTATCGTGTACAACGGAACACAGGAAGGTGAATCCAAAACAGCGAACACAACTGTGGCTGCTGGGGAGGGAATGGGTGCAGGCAGGCTCCAGGCCGGCCTTCTCCATGCTCTCTTTAGTGTTAATGCTGAACCCTGCAAATGTTTCACAGATATGACAAAGAAAAGTAAATTGGGGCCGGATGCACTGGCTCACACCTGTAATCCCAGCACTTTGGGAGGCCGAGGCAGGTGGACCTGAGGTCAGCAGTTCAAGACCAGCCTGGCCAACATAGTGAAACCCCATCTCTACTACAAATACAAAAATTAGCTGGGTGTGGTGGTATGGGCCTGTAATCCCAGCTACTTGGGAGGCTGAGGCGCAAGAATCGCTTGAATTTGGGAGGCGGAGGTTGCAGTCAGTTGAGATCACACTAATGCACTACAGCCTGGGTGACAGAGCAACACTCTCTCTCAAAAAAAGACAAAACAAAAAGTAAATTGGAAAGGGGAAGAGAGAGACCATCACACCAGAAACAAACAGAACAAGTGAACCTCTTGTGGTAATGAAAGGAGATCATTACACACTGTGAGTATATGTTCAGACCACAGAGCTTTAGTGGGATGCAGTCTACGAGAAAAAGAAATTTAAGTCCAGAATAGGCAAATCACAGAAACAGAGAGTTGTCAGGGGCTAGGAGGAGGTGGGAGTGAAAAGTGACAGCCCATGGGTGTGGCATTTCTTTTGAGGTGATAAAAACGTTCTTACATAGTGGTGATGGTTTCACAACTGTGAATATCCTACAAACCACTAAGCAGCACAATTTAAAAGGGTGACTTATGTAGTATGTGTGTTGTATTTCAATCAAGCTATTAGTTTAAAAAGAAATAAAAAGAAGCCTTAAGTTTTACTCAATAGTTTTACTTTTAACAGTAATATTGGTATTAAGTTTTTAAATTTATTTTCTGTGTATTTTAAGATAAAACAAAAAGTTGATATGCTCTTATAAGATGTTTACTGTAAGAGAGGAAAATAAAGAGCTAAAACTAAAAAGCCCTGTGAAATTAAATTTTATTTGGATATATCAAAAGTAACCCAAATAATGAATCTATTTTGTATGTATAGGTTTATCTTCCTCTCCCCTAGCTCTGACCCCTGACAAAGCCTAGACGCAGTGTAACTCCGGTAGCGATCAACATCACAGTGCCCAAATCTTGCCTTCAAAATCCCATTTCCCCTTAAAGGCAGGGAGGCTGCTTGGAGAAACAGCAGGTCTGGGTAGGAAAGCAAAAGGCAGGCAGGTGCAGGAGGGCACAAGAGAGGCCAAGGGGACTGTCCCTGGGGGGCCGGAGCCAATCAGAAGAACCTTCCCTGGCTAAATCCAGGATGATTTCAACACCAAAAAGATAACGACTGAATTGACAATACACTGAATAAATATAAATCATTGACTCTGTCTACTACAAAAAGAAAGACAAAACCCTTTTCTTTAAGAGGAATGCCAACTAATAAATGTAAAAGAGGGAACAATAAGACAGCCATGACTTTGCGATAACCAATGAAATATATGATCAAAGTGAAGCCTCTAAAACCATAGGGTGGAAGCTTATTAGGGTACAAAATACCACACAGCATGCCACTGCTCAGATGCTTAATATTCATAAGAAGAAAATAAACTCTGCAGTACAGGGATCTGGTAGTCATTCCTTAACAAATGGTAAAACTCACCATCATGAATCACAGGACAACCTGACCTTGCAGCCCCCAGGGAATGCACTGTGAGTTCACAGCATCAACTACAAGGTATTCCTGCCAAAAAGCTTCTCTCTGGGTCAAACTGACCCTTTAACCCTCACTTCCAGTGAAAGGAACTACAGGAGGTAGAAGAACAAGCTAAATGACACCACAATGAAACAGACAAATCCAAAATGTGGGATGTTCAACAAGACAAGTGGCCCAATCTCTTCAAAAAGTCAACACTACAGGGAAAACAAAAGTGGATACTGCTGTAGATTAGATTAGAAACCTAGAAAGAACAATGAAATATAATTCAGCCTAAAGGAAGGAAATTTTGACATGGAATATAACATAGGTAAATCTTGAGAACACCATGCTAAGTGAAATAAGCCAGTCACGAAAGGACAATTACTATATGATTCCACTTACATGAGATCTAGAGCAGCCAAAATCATGGAAACAGAAAGTAGAAGGGTTGTTGCCAACGCCTGGGGAAAGGGGAAATGGGAAGTTGCTCAATGAGCCCACAGTTTTGGTTTTACAAGATGAAAAAATTCTAGAGATCTGTTGCATAACAATGTGAACATATTAACACTACTCAACTGAATGGTTAAGACGATAACTTTTATACTACGTGGTTTCTTTAACCACATTAAAAAAACAACTAAAAAGACACAACATACAAATGAAAAACATGAACCTTGTGTCTCAGGAGAGCTCAAGGAGGGGCAGATTTAAGGGAACAGACAGTTGGTGGAGCAGTCAGAACACGCACAACACATACTAAGTTCCATGGGTGTGGTTCATGGAGCCCTAAAACAATTACAACAGTAACATCAGAGATCACTGATCACAGATCACCATAACAGATTTAATAATGAGAAACTTTGAAACATTGCAAGAATTACCCAAATATGACACACAGAAACGAAGTGAGAACATGCTGTTGGCAAAATCATGCCAACAGACTTGCTTGGTGCAGGGCTGCCACAAACCTTCAATCTGTAAAGACACGGCATCTGCGAAGTGTGGTAAAGTGAAGCTCAATAAAGCAAGGTCCCTGCAGTGGCTGGGCTCTGACTCCCTCTGCGCCATGCATCCCTGTGGCCGGGCTCCGACCCTCTCTGCGCCATGCAACCCCATGGCCGGGCTCCCACCCCCTCTGCATCATGCAGCCCTGTGGCCGGGCTCTGACCCCACTCTACGTCATGTAACCCCGTGGCCGGTTTGGGACCCCCTCTGCGTCATGCAACCC